TGCGTGCGTGTGTGTGCGCGTGAGTGTGTGTGCGCGTGAGTGTGTGTGTCGGTGGTTGTCTTATCGTTCTTCTGTTAACACTGCAGGTCCGTGTCTGGGCGAGGAAGGATGCCATTGAGCAGGCGAACTACGCCTTACAGGTGGCTACGAAGACTTTGACGTACTTCGAAGATTATTTCCATCTACAATTTCCTCTTTCAAAATTAGGTAAGATATACGTTTCATTTTAGCTAGAGAATTATATGAAATCAGGCAAATGTTTGACACGCGTGTGTAGTTCTTCGTTCTGTTGTCAATCACATCTATGATGGATAAAACCAAGATAAAACCATACAACGGAAAACTATTGTGTCTGCAAATAAGATGCATTGATCCTTTATATCCATTATATTATTAGCGGTAACAGCCAATGCGAGGATATATTAATGTATTATGATATTATACCTGCACGCACAACCGTGCGCACGTTTGTACAGACAAATACGCGCACGTCTAGTCCGTCTATGTTGACTATGTTCGTCTATACGGACGTAAACATGAACTCGTGTACACGCACCCATTACTGTGCATTAACACGCACGCATACATGTCTGCATGTAAACGTTAGTTCTATAGATGCAACTGATTCTTCACATCTGTGCGCATAATATTAGTGAACATCCGAACGTAAGCTTAGTTAAATTTAGTACCCGCGTATAGTAAATTTATTGGATATTCGAACGCATTATATTGAGCGAAAGTCCGCTTCTTCGGAAGGGCGATAAAAGACAAATACGTACATAACAACAATCTCTCTATCAAGAGTGCATAATAGAGATGCACTCTATTATGCACTCTCTATTATGCACTCTTGATAACAACGAACACCGATGTTGTCTGCATGATCCATTAGGGAACATAGACAACGCACGTCGCGCGGACTATACGAGACTCCGCCTGAGGCATCCCATAATAACAAACTGCAGAGAGCAGCAGCGCGTAAAAAAGCAGGCAGCGTCGCGTTGCGAGTGCTGTCAAGAATAAAATCATTATCACTGTATACGACGGTAGATTCAGACGAGGAACGAGAAGGTAGAACGGATAGACAGCACTTACAGTATAACGTGTCACGTATGTGCAGGGTGAGAGATTACGCGAACAAAAGCACTGAGACATTACAGACGGTATATACCTGTGTGATGATAAAATCAAATCTATGAGATTAAAATAATTCATAATTTTTGAAACCTGGCAAAAGTATAGAGACCCGGTCACTGCGTCGGGTTTGTTTCAGTAAGATGGGTTGTTTTCCGCAGTGAGGGTTCTTGGCTTATTCTGTCT